GATATTGTTGGTAGGCTGCAGGACCTCCGTTCATCCATTTGAGTCATCTATCTTTGCATCAGAATTAGCAATCATCTCCTCCAAAGGATGTGAAGCTGATCATCAAATTTTTTTCAGTTTCTTATGTATCCTTAACTTCTTTAATTTGCTAGTTTTCTTTCAAAAAAATCAAAAAAATCAAAACTTCGATTAAAATGAAGCACATAATTTTTTGGTAAGTTTCTTCTGCTCCATGACCTCATAGTTGGGCTTGCTAGCTTTGATTTTAGGTATTGTGAACAAAAAAAATTGTAAAATGTGAGATCTTTCTTTACTTTATGCCTTGGATTGATAATTTCGTCAGCGAGAAGAGCTACAAACTCAGTCAAATAACAACAAAATCTTTATGGCAAATCAGTCCTCCAGCTGTAAAAGACCCATTATCGCTACAAAATATCCTCAAAATATTCAAAACCAATATAAAGCTACCACAATTTAATAAAAATCAAACAACTTTTCATTTCCTTGAATTTACGTTTACATAATTTATCATTTCATTCAGAAATTCTGAAACTAAGCTTCTTATTTAATTTAAATATCGTTATTGATTCGATTTCTTTCTCCCCATTTATTCTGCACATTACTTATTTTTTTATAATTAAACAAAACAAAAACATTTCTTCACGTTTTCTGTTATTTCAACTTGCTTACTTCACCCGTCAAATGAATGCAAATCAGAAGAAGTAAAACTTTTTACTTTATATTTCTTTTTATCAAACTCTTCATGAAAATCTACGTATGATGAATACTGATTTTTAATAAAGACCTGAAAGACCTCTTTGATTGATGCCATTTCGACGACTTGCCAATCGAGAATTTATTGACATTACTTTTACAATGAAAATGACAAAAAAGAAATTGAAGAAAATGAGCAAAAACTAGAAAGAATTAATAAAAATAAGGAAAGAGAAATGAGCAGCTACTGGCTTTTTTGTTCATTGTTTCACAGTCCAATATTTCTTTTCATTTTTTTTTTCATTATTAAATCAATACAATTAACATTCATACATGTGTCTCCATTTATTTTCTATTTATTTCTAAAATACAAATACTTAATAAATATCTTGTTGTTGATATCTGAATTAAATATTTTTTATAGGTATTATTTATTTATTCGCTAACTTAATTCCATCGATCATTTGACAGTCGAACGAAGTAATAGAGGATATGTGATATCGGGAATAATTTTATTTTTGGATATGAAGAATTTTTTGTTGTGGTTAAATGTGTTTTTGTGGTCATGTTTTGTGGTGTTATTTAAATGATATTAAATGTTCAATTTGACGCAATTATGTTTTTAAATAATGTTTTATACTTTTTTAGGATTTCATGCTTATTTTTGGAGATTTTTCTTTCCCAATCAATTTAGGTTCCTTAACCTCAAAAATTGCATTTTAGTTTGAACGCTACAAGTTTAATTAGCTAGGATAGAGGATGAAGAACTTATCAAAATGACCATAAACAAAGAAATCGTGATTTATCAGTTCCGTACCCTTGACCAGAATGCAGCAAATAAATTTGATCACTTTATATAAAAGTCAAAGAACAATTCAATCAATAGTGAAATTTGACGGCAATCTGTGGAATTTTGATAGGTTAAGCAGATCCAAATCTCATCTCAAGATCAAAATTCGACTGAATTTCGTTCATTTCTTGATGCGCTCCTAATTCAAACTTTTGAAGATCTTTCAAAAATATTCAAATTTAAAAGAAAAGTTCAGCTTGTAGTTAAATTTTAAAAATTTCAAAAATTACATTTTTACATTAAATTGCAAATAATTCATTTTAAGTGTATCCCAAAAATCACGAAATTTAGCATTCCAAAAGATAATTCGAAAGCCCTACGAAGAAAATGAAAAAAAAACTCTCAATAAAAAAATGATTGAATTGACTTTAAAGTGAAACATGAAAGAATTCCTTTTTTTCTCATAATGACATCATTCATGCATTGTTATCAGTCAGTATAGCTCATTCAATATTTACTCATGTAGATGTCCCCACACATATGTGTGTGCGTGTAGTTAATTTTACATGATTAAATATTTTGTTTATCTATTTACCTGCTTTATATATAGAAAAAAAAAAGCTTGTGCAAATAAAATATCTCTTTTCTACTAATGAGTTGAGTCAACAATATTTCTGCTGTTATCTCGCACATATGAGTCGTTCTCACTCAGGTGTTCATATCGCCGGCAACATTTTTTACTCTTTCTCAATTTTTCTTTCTTAAATTTTTTCGTTTAAAGAGACTCGAGAGAGTCACATGCCGTGAATTAAATAATTTTTTATACGATTTTGAATAAAAAACATTTGAGCGAAGGTAAAAAAACTAGTCGAATTGTTGTTTGCTACTTCTCCCTCCTCTCTTTCTTCTCTTTTTCACGTTCAACACCAGCAACAACAACAAAACTTCCATCCATCCAATATGCGGTGTTTGTTGACTTTTTTTCCAACTCATTGAATCAATTTTTTTTTTCTCTTTCGATATTTTTTTTTTATCCGATCAGTTTTACTTTGTCGCTGTATCTGATCAAACGTTTTTTTATCCTCATTTGTGAACGTCGTGTGCTCTGTTGTTTATTGCGATACAATTTTACCTTCTTTCATTCATTTTGTATCGTTGGAGAGTGAAAAGGATTTTTTTACGCGCGGAACTGTTTTTTTGAGGACAAATAAAACTAATTAAAATTTGGAAATTGATTTGAATTTCAAATTAAATTGTGGAAAAAAATATTGAAACTTTAAATTCTAAAATAAAAGGATTGTGAAATTATGTTTCAAATTAAACTGAGCAAATCAAACTTAAAGTTTGAAAAGAAACTTTTATAAAAGTGAAAAATAACATTTAAAATAAATTTCATGTTAAAAAATAAAATTTAAAATTCATTGGAAATTTCAAAATTTAATTGTCAACAGCAGAATTGAAATAATCAAAAATTTAAACAAATTCTCAAAGTTTAAAATAATTAAAAACTAGAAAAAAAATCAAAATAAAGTGAAAAAATCATCAAAGGATCAGAAAAATTAAAAATAATTTGAAATAAAAAACAATTAAAGTCACATTAAAATCTAGTGACAGAAGTGAATTTAAGTTAATTTAAATTAACATTGCGAACATTGATTTAAAGTCTATTAATTTTTGATTTAAAAAATCAATCATAAATATTTTGTGAAAAGTTAAAATAAAAATATTTAAATAATTTAAATATTAAAAGTCATCAAAAAGGATCAAATTTAATTTTCAAAAAACCTTAGACTGTCTGGAATTTTAAAATAAATAAAAGCTTTTCAAATTATAAGCAAATTTTGATCAAGCAAAAGTTTCAACAATCAATAAAAGGAAAGAAAAAACAAAAGAAAACTTTTCTCAAAAATAAAAGAAAAAAAAAACTCTTCTCACAAATTATCTAAAACCCTAATTGCCAACAACCACCTCATCATAAAACCCTATTGGCGCCACCACGCAAATATTATCAAAAAAGCAGCAAAGATTAGTGCAAAAGTTAACATCACAACTTGCCAAACACGAATTCAACTTTTAAAAGATAAACTCGATAAGAAAGTCAATTTTCTACTTGGAATCGATAACAGACAATCAACATCGAAGTGCATTTTAAAAAGCGACTTTAATTTTATAAGAAAGTCACTTTTATTTCTTATCAATTCTGCACGCAAAACCAATTGAAAAACGAGAGGAATTGGAATTGGAATCACTTTTTTATAAGCGAAGTTAGGACTTAATAGTTGAATTTAAAAAACTTGGAGCAATAAAAATTCAAGCATTGGAAGCATTCACATAATCATTGATAGAAAGTTGATAAGGAAGTTTTGAGAATTAATGGCAATGAGTCACGAAAAGAGTGGAAATAGAAGCTTTTAGAAGGAATTTAAGTTGGAATTGTTTGAGAAAATTAAAGTTTAAATTGGAAAAATTTTAAAATTTGAAAGTTTTAATTCTTAACTTGACAGAAGAAATTTAAAAAAAACTTTAAAAAAATTGAAATTTTCAGTCAAAAACTTCAAAAAAAATAAAATTTTATGCAAAAAATTAAAAATTGGATTGGAAAAAAATTGAAAACTTTTAAAAATTGATGTCAAAGATCAAGAAATTATTCAGCAAATCCAAAACCTTTCAAAATCAAAATTGAAATCCTTAAAAATTAAACCAAGAAAATAAAATCTACAAACTCAGAAACTTTTACAGTCCATAAAACTTACCAAGCAACAGCCTAGCAAATCCGTGAAACTTTATACTTTAAAAACGTCAAGCTCGCGCGAGCTGTGAGGCAAAAAACATAAAATTGCGTTGTGTGAGGTATAATTTTCAAATCCAGTGTAATAGACGCAAAAAAGCTGTGCATAGCAAATTGTGAACTGTCTTAAAATTTATGAACTAATCTTGTGAATATATGAACTAAAACAATCGTGAACTGCTGAAATCTGAAGATTGAGCTAAAGAAACTTTAACTTTAGTGTCTAGTGACTGTCAAAACTGTCGGATATAGTAAAAAGTGAAGCTAAAATTGTGAGAACTAGAAGAAAAATCAACAGCAAAGCAAGAAGTAAAAGTTGAATGTGAACAAGAACAGAAATTATCGCTTATTAAATTAAGACAAAATTAAATTTCATATATACACAAAGATCGCAGCTAAATTGCACTAAAGTGATTAAAAATTATCATAATAAGAGCAAGGAAAGGAGAAAAAAAGCAATAATAATTGCATGATAATTTTATGCATAAAGCTCTACGAGACGAGTAACGGTTCATGAATATTAGAGTATTTATATCTATATCACGACACATCTAGGCAGTGTGAAAGGCATTTAGTGTGGCTTAAAGTGTCGAAAACGTAATTTAACGTACGGAAAATATTCATTATTCATTATTATTAATATCTTAATTCATAAATCTATTGATCGATCGATGTGTCATTGTATATGCAAATACAATAAATGCCAGTGATTATAAATTAATTAAAATTAAATAACGACAATTTTATTTTTGCAATAAAAAATTATTTAATGAGACGAAAATTATAAGGTTTATGGATGCGGTAGGAGATCAAATTGTTCCATCAGCAAATTTCTATGTAATGCAGGTGAGTTTCACGTTTTATAATTGATTTAAATATTCAAAAAAATTAATATAAGAGTTTGAATTTGTTCCTCGATGATTTGATTAGTTTTTAAAATTTTTCCAAAAACTTTACAAATTCAAATTATATTTTGTAAAGTAAACGGAGCTTAAAATATTAGAAATGTTCAATTGAAATTTTTCAACATTTTTAAAAAAATTAAAATTTGAAGAAAAAAGATCCAAATAACTTTTAAAAAAATTGAAAACAGTTGAAAATTAAATTAAACAATTTAGAAATTTGAAAAAAGGAACAATTAAAATTTGAACAAATTAAAGAATTGAAAAGTTTTTAAAACATTGAACAATTTATATTCAAAAATTTGAAAAAATATTGAAAATTAAAAAAAAAAAGTTTTTGAATTGCAAAAAAAATTTAAAATGTTTTAAAAAAGCTCCACTATTTTTTAAAACTTATATTCAATTCGAATTAGCTTTCATATATCATATTTCACATAAATCTTTCAAATCTTCAAAAACTTTTTTTTTATTTATCCAACAACTTCAAACAAAACTAAAAACCTTGAAAAACTTCTATATCAAAAATAACAATTTTTTTTTGCAAAGTGCCTTAAAGCTTATGCTCACATAAGTCAAGTCAAAAATCAATGAGCAAGACTTATGTCTTATCAGAGTTATCAGTCACACTTGATAATAAAATTCTTGTTTCGTTCAAAATATTTTTCTTCTTTTTTTCGTCTTCAATTTGATTAGCTGTATAATGTTTAATGTGTTTTAAAAATATCAAGCAAGATAACGGAGCATTAGTCATTGATAAGGGAAAAAAAAGTAATAAAATATAAATTTATTTATGAAGAAATTTTCATGAAACACTTCCGAAAACTTCTTGTGAATTTTTCTAAAAGGGAAGAGCCAACATGAAAAATGAGGAAATAAAGACTAAGAGCTTTTTATGAATAAATTATCGGCATTCTTGCTTTGAACATGTCAATTTATGTCACTTCCGTGGAAAGTTTTAAAGCTTTGCTTATTTTCTAGATAAAAAGAGTCAGTTTTAGTGTTGAGTAAATAGCTGCATTGTCTGTTAGATGGAATTAGTCATAAAGCACAACTCAGAATGCTTTGAAGTTGATTTCGTGAGAATCCATACGGGAATTCTCTTTTGGTACTCGATTGGATGTACTAAGTGCGAAAGGACTGATTCTAACTCTATAAACCTCTCTCCAATCTCATCTTATCCAAAAATTCCAAATAATTTCAATTTTAGAACTTAAAATCATAAAACATCAATTACTCTATCAAAACCATTAGATTCACGTAAGAACTTCCATTCATAAAATATTTAGCACGCAATTTTCATTTCCACACATAAGTCATGTGCCATTCTTCATTCCTTATCTCTTAAAAAAAAGACAACACACAAAAAAATTATCTTTATTACAATAATATTTAATGAATAATTTCGTTGATGACGAATTTCGTGGTGTCTTATTGTCTCAGACATCAGAAACAAACAGACACGACTTTTATGAATAAATAAATCATTTCCGATATCGTCTTTAAACAAATTTTGTCATTAAATGATCACAAAAAAAGTGTCGCTTGCGATAAGAAATGTAAAAACAAGTCAAATAAAATGAGAATTTTAAGTTTTTCTGATGCGCGCGTGAAATAAATTTTCCGACGGTTTTATGACTCGATTCTATTGGAAAAGCTATAAAAGTTGCGGCATTTGTGATTCTAGTTCTTTTGTGCCTTGTTTTGTGTTATTTGATCTTCTTTTTTACGATCATTGAAGCTCAAAATAATTCAATGAACTTTTATGATGATTAAAAATTGTTAAAATTAACGAATTAATTATTGGTGATTGGAAATGTCAAAAGAAAGTTGCTGCATTCAGGATTAAAAATATTTCTGGTGATGATGCATGTCATTATCAAGTTTCATGATAAATTCTCCTTTTAAAAATATTTTTAAAAAAGTCCACAACTCATTCATTCATTCACTGACCATAATTCTTATTATTCTTGCTGTTATTACATCCAATAATGACCTTTTGACATTGCGCAATAAAAACTTCATTTTATGACATTCATCGAATATCCAACTTTACTTACTTACATGCTGAGTGACAATCGAGAAGAATAAAGAGTCTTTTGTGTACATAAAGATAAACAATCTGATGGAGTGAAGTCAATAAATGCCAATATTAACGCCATGTCGTCAATGGTACATTAATTATTATGTACACTTATTGCTGCATGATATCAAGTGAATGTTTATAGATTTTATTTAAAAGAAACCTCACATCGTCATGGAGTGCAAATATGTTCTATTCGCGAGGCAAGAAAGGAAGGAAAGAATTAAGATTGAGGAATAGGAATGAGTTGGAAGTGGATGTGAAGGCGCATTTTTTTGTGGTGTTGAGTTATTGAGGCTTAGTTGATGGTTTCTAGGGTAACCTCAGGCATGCAATTGATTTTATAAATTTTTTGGTCTGATTAAAACTTGGATAGTGCTACAGATCTAGTAAAACTCAAATGAATTTTAATTCAATTAAATTAAATCTAATAAATTCATACTTTATAATAAAAATTACACCTTACAAAGCTAATAAGCTCAATTCATACTTAATAAAATCCAAACTCATTAAAGTTCATTTATTTTACACACAAAAAGGCACAATGAATTTTTTTATTAAAACAAACTTTACCAAATAAAACGACAACCCAGACAAATTGTAGACACACAACACCCTCGTCCCAATATAGAAATCTACACACATATTAAATTGTACTTAGAAGGCGCAAAAAGGCACAAGAGAAAGAAGAAAAAATTTAAATTCCATTTTATTATTGTCAATAAAGTAGATTCAACAAGCACATACCACAATATGCAAGTGAAGACGCGAAACGGTGCAATATGGACTTATTCAATTTAAATTCTTTTGTAGCAAGAAGGAATTTTATTTTTAACTCATTTGCCTTAGAAGAAAATGGAATTGCCAATAATAATAAATATAAATAAAGAACAGAAATTGAAGAATATCTTCCTTATGTCCAGATATGTGTGTGTGTGTGCGGTTGGGTAATAATTTCAACACTTTAAAACGCATCCTAAATGAGCTCGCGCATTAAAATGTCATAAAAATTTTAATTTTATTATGAAACAAAAAATACATTTTTATTGGACATGTGGATGGTCTTTAGCAACATTCTTGTTGCTGTGTGAGGTTCTGGATTATTTTGTATTCTCGTGGGGAAAGAAATTTAAAACTAATTATTTAAATGTTATTTTTTTATGATAATTTTTCTAGTTTTTTGCTATGTGACTTGTGCGATATTGCATTACATTTTTTAAATGAAATTCCTTTGAGCACTTGTTGGGGTTGTGACATTGAGTTTATTCTGGTTTGTTGGTGATTGGATGGAAAAATTGTTGAGTTTATGGAGGAATTTGTAGCTTTGGTGATATTTCGGACGAGTTTTGTGAGAGAGATTCAAAAACTTAATTCTAGTCTATAAAGTAAGCTGCGTTCAATGTTCGAAAAGCAAGAAAACTTAATTCTAGTCTATAAAGTATAAGAAAGACGCGAGTTCGATTCCCGTCGGAAGGTAAAAAAATTATTGTAAAATAAAGAAGAAAAAATTATTTAACCTTTTAAAAAACTTTATCAAAGATCTTGAGACTGTCATAGTTCGAAGACAACCAAGACAACCTTGACATCTTACATTCAAAACTATAAATTGTTGTAAATATTCCTTAATTTTATAATTTATTATCACATCTTCCGTAGCTTATATCATAAATCATGACAATTCAATACAAAATTCACTAAATCTTTAACTGTAAAATAATATCTATTTTCAATACCAAGCTAGCATTATCATGCTAAATCCTTGTCTGTAACAAAATCCAAGACATAAATCAAAATCAAATGCTGCAACAAAATATCCGGCAATAATCTTTCTTTATCAATCGCGATCCGCTAGATTTTATTTTATGCAAAAAAATAAAGACTTGCGCTGCTTGTCGTTTACTTCTCCTTTATCTCATTTTACGTAACAGAAGTCCAATTGAAAAGTTCAATCATTAAAAAAGTGCACTACATGCCGATAAATTTTTTTTCTCTCTTGTACTTTGCAATTTTCTTTTCAACTCTCATTGAATTGTAGTGAATAAATTTATAATGACCATGTTTCGAAGTCATTTTGCTTAGTAATGAAATTTGATAGTCCAATAAAACACAAAGTTTCTCTATTTTTCAATCAGAAGAGACCAGCGTCAGTGTGAGAGAGAAATATGTCCATTTTAATGGCTATACTGGCTTTTAGTGAATGTCAAAGGCTTAAAATGTATATTTTTGATATTTTTTTTTATAAGCCATAAAAAAGTGTATGAGAAAAAAATTATATACGTACGAATCAGCGCTTCATATCATATGGTGGCGACTTAAATGATAGAACAAGCAAAGAGCGTCATAAAATCATTCACATCCAGTCATTTGCGTTTCTCGATCCTTTAAAAACTATAATAAATATAATTTATGCGATCGATCGATTTCTTTTCGATTTAAATTTTTTTATTCATTGGTGTAAAAAATATTATGACTCTCGGGATACATGCTGGAAAATCAATAAAAATAGCTAATTTTTGCACTATTTTTTTTATGACACGCTTTTGGGTTATAAAAATTTGAGACATTTTTTTATTGGTTTGATGGAAATTGGTGCAGAAAGTGAAAAAGAATTTTGTTAAAATTGAAGAGTTTCAAAAAGTCAAAAAATTGGAAAATTTATTTTAAAAATTTGAAATTTTAAAAGAGTCAAAAAATTGGAAATTTAAAACCAAAATTAATTTCAAAAATTATAAAATTTGAAAAAATAAAACAAATTTTTTTTAAATTATAAATGTTGAAAAATTCAAAAACTTGGAAATAAAAAAAATGTTTTTTATTTGTCATGAAAAAAGTTATAAAATTGAAATTTTTATAATTTTTTTCTG